GTTGGCAGTGTGTGGTTCATTTAAGGCATCTAGGTGAAAGATGACAAAGAAGCTCAACGTCTCAGAGAAGACTTTGCCAAAAAAGGTTGACACCCCAATAAAATAAAAAGGATCTGTAAAAACTAAGTAAACATTATCTAATAAAATGTGGTTTTCAATTGTTCAGACAAATGGGAGAAACAGTGAATTTGAAGGACATACTTTCTAATAATTGTCAAATGTTTTTGCATGGTCAGACCTTTAGTCTGTGTGTGTCTGCAAGTATCTCAACTTCACATGTTGCTGCTTTTTTTCTGGACCTGATTTATAGCTCTGCTTTACAAAAACCCTGCAACCAGGCCTAAAAATACCATTTTGTGTGTGTGTGTGTGTGTGTGTGTGTGTGTGTGTGTGCGATGGTCTAATATAGAGCCGTGGGAATGGGCTGCAGTGAGTGTACTTGAAGGGACATTGCTGCTGTTGTTTTGTTGTGGCAGCAGACCAGTGGAGGCTCTGTGCTGTGCTGTGGGAAACTGGGAGCTGCCCCAGTACAGCTGCAGTGTGTTGCTGAAGAGCACTACAGCACAGATTGTTGGTGGAGTGATGATGGAGGAGAATTGGTTGCAAACAGGGCCGTTAAGTCTCTTTTTCTGAACTCTCTCATCTCCTTTCCTCTCCTCTTGCGTCCTCTCCTTTGTCTCCCTTCTGTCCCATTTCCTTGTCCCCTTTTGCCTCGTCTTTTCTCTCATCTCCTTTTGTCCTCTCTACATCTTTTCTTGCTGAGTCCACATTTCCCTCACTTGCGTCTTTTCCTCGCATCTTAATCTCATCAAGGTAAGATGTGAGGAAAAGATGTAAGGAGAGGGGAATCGAGGAAACAGGCTTGTAGAGACATGAGACATCCTTCATCTGAAGCATCCAATCACTGGTTTCTGATCAAGGGGTCTGTGTTGGTCCATAAAAGACTTCTGGATGCTCTCATGTATTGCCTCTCATGTCTCCTCCAGCAGCCTGAGTGCTCACTCTGCAGAGCAGACATAAGGGTTTTGGTGTGTCCTTGATCCTTACCTTACCAAAATAACTTTTGGGTTGACCTAGGAACAATCAAGTGAGAGGCTTGAGAAGCCGGCAACATATATGACTCTGTGTGAAGGGTCAAAGGTCAGGTGTTGAGGTTTGGGTCACTTCATCTCCAGCAGAGTTCGGTGTTTAACATGTGGTTTTAGGATGGCATTGTGCCTGATCCAACCCCGTCTGAGCGCCACCAGTCTTGATGAAACACAAAAGGTCAAGTCTAGTAAAAGAGACCTTGAGCTCAATGAGGTTTCCTGGCGTCTAACCAAAAGAAAAAGTGATGAGGTCGGTGACATCCAGTGGAGTCATTTCCCTGAATGTGTGGTGTGTCTGTACAGACATTGCTGAAGGGAATAAGGAAACTGCAAAAGGAGGGAATAGGATAAGGAAATGAGGATATAGCTGAAGGAAAGGAACAAGCGAAGTTAAAAGGAGGAGGATAGAAAAACTAACAGACAAGGAAAGAGGGAGAGAAGTAAATGAAAAGAAGTGGGAGGATGGAAGGATGGGAGTGTGATTGCATGGTTTCAGTCTGACAGACAGGAGGAGTGCGGCTGCAGCAGCAAAGTAATTATTGTTTACTTTGGACACACACACACACACAAATGCACTGCAGTTATAGCCCATTAATGTGACTTGCTGTTCTCTGACAGAGAACAGAGTTTGACAGAGTGCTATTTCTAAGACTTTATGGTGGTGCCCTCAGGAAATGGGTGCATCTACTGTATATGTTCATCTTCTTGAGCTCCAGCTGACATTATGTAAAATATAATTCATCTAAGAATAAACGATCGAGAACGGAAGTAAAACAAACAACCGAAGTGACAATGTATGAAACAGGCTAAGAATAGAGAAGGACACAAAACAATATAAAGAAAGTTAAATGAGCTAAAACAGAGACGGTAAACTACTTCATTTATCTTAGTGTTACAGTCTGGGGATCCCCAATTTCATTTCATTTCTATCTGCAAACCGTTCCTGGTGGATGGAACAGAAAAAATGAAGGCTCTCTGTCCCGTCTCTGTCCATAAGCGAGGGACAGACAGAAGTTGTTTGTCTTGTTGCTTCACGTTCATCGGACTTTTATGGAGAAGCTTCTGATCAAGCCAAACTGGAATGAACATAAAGTGTCCGTCGCACAAATAAGGTTGTTATTGTTGTACGTATGTGGCTCACACCTCAGTTAATTCTGCATGAGTGGCAGTTTAGGAGCTCAGCGGTGTTCGGTTAATTCTGCATGAGGGGCAGTTTAGGAGCTCAGCGGTGTTCACGCCGGAGCCAGACACGTGTCACACACATGGACTGAGCCTTACATGAATGTAACCTTATTCACAGCATGTCTAGGATGTGTGACAACATGAGAAGATTTCTGTCAAATAGTTCGGACAGTTCACGTGTTGGAAGCCTGATTTTTGTTGAACACTTTGGAGATGAAGCTCCATCTGAGGAGCAAGCTGAGCTCTGGTGCAACGTAAACTGAATTTTCTCCTCGTTTGGACAGTGCCTGCGAAGAACGGTTCATTTGTTGGTCCGCATCTAACCTTTGCATGTGTGGAAACTGCAGATTGTTGTACAAGAGTGCAGCTGTGAGAGCTTTCACAATGCTCCTCTAGTCCCTCAGCAGCCCCCAAACTACACACAAACACACACACACACTCAGCCTGTGCTCCAGTCTTAATGACAGACCTTGCTAACCACAGGGATCTAATTCTAGCACCGCTCTGCAGTGTGTTGTGCGTTTGAATGTGGGTGTGGGACATTCTGCTCTCTAATCTTGTGTGTATGTGCTGGCTAGCTGTCTCTGTCCAGAAAGGGACGGGGGACCATGTCAAAGTGGCTACACAGAATAGCTCACTGTGCCTCTCCTGGGTCTCCTGGGTGGAGATGTGGAGGTTAAGGGAAAAGGATGACGTGAGGAGACGTGGTTAAATAGAGGAGGTGAGATTAAGGGGTTGATGTGAACAGAAAAGACATGATGTGATTGATTGGATTATTGATCATACCAGGCTCACTGTTTTCTAATCAAGGCATTGCTACGCTCACCACTACTAGTCACCAGCTGTTTTATGTGACTGGTGAAGTTAGCTCGTCCAATTATCTTAGCATCATATAACAACTAAACCGGAGGACACAGCCTGGTTCTGTCCAAGGGTAACAGAGTTTAGCTACAGCTCAGTAACACTTCATGTCTCGTTTGTTTAATCTGCACTGGTACCAGGAGATTAAAAGACTCACCTGTGTTGTGCTGTGTACCAATTTTAAAAAAAAAAGCACATTAATTAGTGAGCTTGAGAAGTGCTGGTAGGCAGATTTCGTTGCCTGGTGGGTCCTGTGCAAGGTATATGCCACCGGTTGTCACGACAGAGAATAACCAAACAGCTGCTGTGTGTCTTTGTCTCTGATCTGTATCCCAGATTAAGCCACTGTATATTTTTATAACTGTGTGTGTGTGTGTGTGTGTGTGTGTGTGTGTGTGTCACTGAAGGATAATTATTGGCATCATTAATCACAGCAACACTCCCTCCAGAGGTGTGTTGACTTGTTCTCATTGTGGTTTACATAAACCGTTTACACACACACACACACACACACTCTACGCCTTCATCTCCCATAACCTTTGCCTGGGTTTCCTTGCCATGCCTCTTGTGTTGTTTTGTTAAACATCAAGCGTATGGTTATTATTTTTAGACTGTGAAACTGACCACTCAGTCTTCTGCAAGCAGAGTCAAAGGGCTGAGAAGTCCAATGGATTTCTTGACCTTAACATTAGGATTTTTGAACTAAAGCCCCTTGGTTACAAATTTATGTTCAAGATATTTTTGGTTCAGTGCAAAGCCAATAAACAGAATGTCAGAAATATGCAGAGTGACACACAGGACAAACAGTACAAAAGGTCAAACACCAAGACCGTCCGAAGCCCCAGCAGTTCCGCGTCTGCAGTGTTCACGCACATCACCATTCAAACGTGTTTGGAGCTAAAGACATACTGAGAATTTTAATATTCTACAGAGCTTCACTGGTCACTGGGGATTTGTAAGTTTCGTTTTGGACTTTTTGATATTGGTATTTGTTGTGGAAGATGTAACCTGTCTGTGGTGACCGAGCAAAGGTCAGAGGCTCACTGAAATTATTAGGGATCATCCATTGTTTTTGATTTATAAATATGCAAGCAACACTTTGTTGGTTTTGTTAGTAGAGGTGAAATGAAATGTAGTGTGGTGGGGTAGAAGTATAAAGTCATACAAAATGGAAATACTCAAGCAGTGTCTCAAACTTGGATTTAAGTACTGCACTTGAGTAGATGTACTTAGCTCGTTCCCACCACTAGGATCATATTGATAACATATTTGAGCAGTTTTTCATGGAAAGATGAACCCACTGACTGTGGCCACATAGCCATCATGTCTCTGCTCAGCTCTTACCCTTGTCCCTGACTTCTTCTAAAGAGCCAGTAAATAGGCATTAAGAGGTTTGAAAATCCAAAGCCTTCATTAAGAAGTGCTGCATGCCTCAGAAGGTCATATAATGTCTCAGGCCAAACAGTTCAATCTGCATCCTGTTTACTTTGTTGAATACAGCTGCAATTTGTCTCTAAATGTTAATATACTGTAACTGATTCTGTCTGTTTAGTTTTACTAGCTGTGAACTGGCTCAAACAGGTCTTTATTGTGATCTTAAACATTTGGACATTTGTCTTCCAAGTTCCATAAAGCTTTAGAACCAGTTATTAGGTCCCAGTGTTGTGCTGTGACCCTTGACCTCCTTAGCGATGGTTGCTTGTAAAGGTGGTGAACAAGGCCTTGAAGTGTCTCAGAGAGAGACGATCAGAATGTAATATAAATGGCTGCAGTGTAGTTCATGCTGCTAGCCACTAGATCACACTCTGTCCTGGAACTGTAGTGGAATTAACCACAGTCCTCTTCTCCCCGCCTGTTTCTTCTCCTCAGATGGATCAACTGTCAGATGAGGAGGTGGAGGTCAGGGAGGAAGAGGAAGAGGAAGAGGAGGACAGTGATAAAGAGGACCAGGACCTGGATAAAATGTTTGGAGCCTGGCTGGGCGAGCTGGACAAACTCACACAGGTAAACACATGAGGGAGGTCCTGTACTGTCATACTATCATTATAGTGAGCAGTGTAGTATTATAATATACAGGTTTATTGGACTTATTGTAGATTCTTGTCATTAGTAGTGTACAAACTGTAGAATGCTAAATCTGACCTCAAAGTGGAGCAGACTCTGTCCTTTGACAGAGATGCCAACTTTTGGTGACTCCAGAGGAATTGGAGTTCTACCCCTGCCATGCACACAGTCACACCTTCACTCTGTCTTTCACTCTGTCCACCCAGTGCCTGGATGATGGGCGGCCAGAGCACCCTCCTCAGCAGAAAGCTCCCCTCAGACAAGAAACCAACATGGCCAACTTCTCCTACAGATTCTCCATCTACAACATCAACGGTCAGATGCACACACATAAAGGCACAGAGACACGTTAAGTCTTTTGTGATTTGATCAATTAGTCTCCCATCTTGATATATTTGTGTCTATCTGCAGAGGCTTTGAATCAGGGGGAGAATGTTGATCTGGATGCTCTCATGGCTGATCTCAGCTCCATCGAACAGGAACTCAGCACCATCAACGCCAAACCGAACAGCGCGGGCGGCATGGCTCGGCTGGGGTTGACAGATACCAAGGTACATACACCTGCAGATCTGTGCAGCATGATCACCACTGGTACTGGACAATTAAAATTGTGATCTTGTTTTTCATAGTTGGAGTTTTGGCTGTTGTTTATAATCACATTTCCTATTGCTGTCCATCTTCCAAAATGTGAAAAAGGCTACCAGCTCACTTGTTCAGTTTTGTTGGTTTTCATGTTTAATAAACTTTAGACAATTTAAACTGCCTTAAAAGTTCTTCCTGTCTGCAGATCCGTCAGAAGCCTCCAGCAGGGCGCAGTAGCAGGCAGCAGCCAGCAGGGAGCAGTGGCGGTGGTGGCAGTAGTAGCAGCATTAGTGGTGGAGGAGGCAGTAGCGGAGCGAGCAGTAGCAGCAGCAGTGCCAGAGCCTCACCAGCTGGTACCATCAGAGCTCCCACTGGGCATCAAGGGAGGCCATCGCTGGCTTCTAACTTCAGTCTGGATGACATCACCGCCCAGCTGGAGAAGGTGTGTATGGCTCTGGAAATGTTGTTTTACCTGTGACATATACCTTATATGAACTGTGTGTCATGGTATTTTCATATCTGTCATTCATTTCTACAAGTTATTCAAAAACCCAAACTTTTGTTTTATTGAAAAAAGTGCCTGGGCCGACCTGGGTGCACCATCACTAGTGGCTGCTGTCTGCTGTCAGAGCACAAGACCCGCTGTGACTCCCAGTCTAGTTCACAAGACATGAGGAATCCACATTCCCCAGTGCAGCATAGCTCCCCCTCCTGCTAACTCTTTTACTGTGAGCCTCATAAAATCATCCAACAAATGTCCCAGCTGGCCAAAGATCAGGATCATACATATCTGTGATTTCACGGCATTCAGCAGTAACAGTGCAGCACAGCTCCCCCTCCTGCTAACTCTTTTACTGTGAGCCTCATAAAATCATCCAACAAATGTCCCAGCTGGCCAAAGATCAGGATCATACATATCTGTTATTTCACTACATTCAGCAGTAACATGAAAAACAAAGTGTCTGTTCCAAGCCAAAGCAGTCTTTTAACATCTAACTGTTTTATGGTCGAATTTCTCAATGAGACAATTATGGAGTCCCCAGGTGGTGCCCCTTCAGGGACCCCATCCAGGGTCTTCAAGAAGGCCCCATACTCTGAGCTATTGTTCAGCACATTAGGGACAAATAAGGGCTTTCCTCTCAGTGACTTGATGTCGCAAAGAGGCAACCCTCTCGTTCCACGGGGTTTTGTGTGAGGAAATAGATCTTTTACTCATAGCTCTCACATAATGGCGCCCTTGTTTGATCGTTGACCTAGCGTGAAACCTGCTTCGTGCTGTCTAGCCAGCATACCTGGTGAATTCATCTGTGCTCACTGTTTGTTAAAATCCAAGCCTTTATCTTCCATCTTCTTTCTGTCTTCCCATCAGGCGTCCCTCAGTATGGATGAGGCTGCCCGTCAGACCTCCTCCCATTCCCTTAGCTCTGCCTCCACCTACACATCAGCCACAACACGACGGCCCGGGTCCTCTCAGCGCCATCATCGACGCACAGGATCAGTTGGCACAGTCAGCGAACACGAGGTAATCTAACCTGAAAAGTGAGTGTGAGATTGATTGGAAACACTGAGTGTTGTAGTGAATAAAATCAATTCACACTCTTGTCATGTTTATTTATATAAGCCAAACTCACAAGTGTGACCCAGAGACATATTGCACTTTCTATTCATACAACCGTATTTGGAGTTTATCACTTCTGAGTCACTAAGCTGAGACCTGACTTTTTGAGAATGACAACCCTGCTTTGTTTTTTGACTTGGTTTCTCTTCTCTTTCTCTTGTTGTGTGACTTTAGGCGCGTTCAGTTGTCCACTCCTCGCGCTCCTCTGTCACCTCAGTGTCCAGGGTTTCTGTCAACTCTGCTTCTTCTATGGACTCATTGGACAGTGTTCTGCGCTCTAATGAATCAGATGACCAGCAGCCTTCAGTTACATCCTCAGCTGAAGGAGCCAGTCAAGGCCATCACAACACAGAGGTACACACCCACTTTTTATGAACAAACGAATGAACGAATTGCCTCTTACCTGATAATGTATGCTACATCGGAGCTGTATGTTCAGTAGTGAGCAGTGGCTGTACAACTGAGCATGGAAACAGTACAGGTGGAATTACATGAAGTAATTCCTGATTGTAAACTCCTGTCAGCTGTTTACGGGTCTGGTGGCAGTTGGAAAGAAAGAGTTTTTCAGTCTAGAGGTCCTGCATTTCACACTTCTGAACCTCCGGCCTGAGGGTAGAGGTGTGAACAGCCCATGCGGCAGCTTTCCTGCAGACTCTACAGTGGTAAATGCTCTGCAGAGAGGGCAGTGGAGTCCTGCTGATCTTCTCCGCAGTCTTTACCACTCTCTGCAGGCGCTTGTGGTCCATAGCAGTAGTGCTGCCATACCAGACAGTGATGCAGCTGGTCACAATGTGGACCAAAGGGATTTAATGATAAATACAGTATACAGTACAAAACACAGGGTTAAAAGAGGCTCCCTCAGTTAACCAGAGCAAACTGTTATGCCCGGTTCAGACTACACGAATTAAGCCCGATAAGAGCCCGATGCGCTGGTTGTTGGGCATCAGAAACGACAATCGGTCATTTAATCTCGTATAGCGTGTCATAGCAAACGACAACCGATGCTTCATCTGGGATGCTTCATGATGTCCTGATACAAATTCTAACATGTCAAAATATTTTTTCATTGTCTAAGACTAGGTGGGCCAGCGCTGACCAACAGGAACACAGCTTGCTCCTCTGTTCGCAACATTTTTGGCATATTGGACTGAACCATGTTTATTAAATATCACAGTGATACAACTAATGTTAGCATATTGACTTTCATAGTCATCCTTGTGAAGTAACTATCCTACAGGGTTAGCTAGCTTTCTGTTTTACCACTGGTAAAACACTTACTTTTAACTGCCACTTCAAGTTCTCCACGAAGGGGAGACAACACATACGCTGCCGCCCTCTTCATGTGACCCACAGACGGGTCCACGGGCTTTTATCCTCCCAGTGCTTTTCTGGGCACAAGCAGCTAGTATCACACACACCACAGATGCTCTGTTTACAGTTTTCCAGTCCCTGGCACCTCCAAGTCCTGAAAGATGTCAACCTGTGATCCGTCGGGTACCAATGTGTAGTCTGTCATATCCCTTGTTGAAAAATTTATGACTTTATAATTGTGTAATCTGACAGAGTGACCATCGTGTCAGACAAAAAGCCAGTGTAGTCTGAACCAGGCATTAGCTGTAGCTAAAAAACCAACAGACACACTGCGGTGTGCTGCTAATGGATGTGTCTACCAGGCACTTTAGCTAATGTGCTAGTCAGACATATTAACTTGTTCCTGAGCAGATGTTATGGTCAGTTAGCTACAGTAAGATTGTTATTAAACACAAAAACACCCCAGATGAGCTGATGAAATTATCAATTTGAGGACAGAAAGACGCTGAAACTAACTACATCTCCCTTTGACTGAGTGACAGTAGTCTGCCGCAGCACTCCTTTCATTTTGCAGGCTGTTAGCAGCAGGGCTCATGCTGTTTTGACTGGGGTTACCTCACTAACACCTGTCCACTGACTGGGATTATGATGAGACTGCTATCGTCTCATCAGATTATGAAGAGATTATGTGCCGTGGGTGACTCACAGGATTGTATGAGCAGTTATGATGACTTTCACATCTTCCTGTATGAAATCATCACGATGTCCAAGTGACGTCCTGTGGCAGCATTTTCAATCCTGTCTGCATTTCAATCCATCATAGCACACGTAGCAATAAAAGCTAGTGTTAATGTGTCTTCACATTAAATTTTCATCCCAGCATAACTGTGATTACTGGAACCAGTTGTTTATGTGCACAGTTTTCCTTCACAGGTTTTGATTTCTGACTACTTGATGTCAATGCGTTTCTGCTGCTGATCTCTGCTTCACCACACAGCTTTCTGCTAAACTGCCTCATCCAATCAGTCAAACAGCAGATTAATTCACCAGGACTCTCTCTGTCTCTCTCTCTCTCTCCTCAAAGCACTCCTATCTGGACAGGGAAACCTCTCTGATTCTGAGAAACATAGCAGGAAAACCTTCTCACCTGCTGACCAAGGTGACGCCTCTCTCACTTCTGCATGCTCTCTCGCTCCTCTCACATGACAACTTCCTGTCGCCCTTCATTTCTCTCCCCTACGCATGAGCGAATAAACATGCATGTCATTACACTTGTCAGTGTCTGCACCAGGAGTCGGGGTCGCTGTGCATGTTAACTCCTGTTTCCTGCGCCCTTATTGCCTCCTCCTCGTTTGTAGTATTGAATGGAGGTCAGTGTGTGTGTGGGGTCATGTAATGTGCAGTGCCCTAACATGCCCTTTTTGGCTGCAGTGAGGTGGTGTGTGTTCCCAAAACTTAACAGAGCATTCAAAAATCGTAAAGCTGGTAAAGTAACATTTTCAAAACTCTACTTTCAGGATACTTCAGCTGTGCTGTGCAACAATAGTGTAACGTAGTCTCATTAAAACAGCTAGTCTATGCTCATTCAGTTTGTCATGCTGTGAAAAGAAGAAATGCACTGAGAATGAGAGATGGATTTTCAAAGCTGTGTCTAAGGACTGAACATGTGCTGAAATAAAATGGATAAATTGAAGCAGTGACTTGATTTCTACACATGAGCAAATCATAATTGTACAAAAAAGTAAGGTGAGATACAGTAAATAATAATTAGACACAAATGAACTGTGCTCTCATTTCAGTAGACATGTCCCCATTCACCGTTGTTTCACTTATAAAAGTAAACAAACAACATTTAGTTTTACTTCAGTATCCAGATCCTCTACTTACATAGAAATAGCAAATGCTCCATTATAAGTAAAGGTCATCCTTTGGCTTATTGCTAAGGTAAAAGTATGTTTGTTTAATTTAGGAAAAGCAGCAAATCCTCATTTAAGAAGCTGGAACTATGAAATGTTTTGCAGTTTGCTTGAAAAATGACTTAAACAATGAAACTGTCATTAAAATAGTTTTCTTTCTTTGCTATCATTTCAACTCTAATTTTATAGACTACTGTAGTTTAATCTATAAAAATGCATCATTCTATTAGCTCTTCATATGCTTTCTATGTAAAAATGATTAATTGGGAGAGTAACAATTCACTAAAGCTGGTAAATAAAGTGCAGTAAAAAGGGTATTTCTCCCCCAGGTTTAGTAGAGGTATGTAGAAGAGACAGTTTGTTAAAATTCATCCCAGTCACCTATTCCAATGATCAAGTCACAGCTGTGTCCCTGTCCCAGGGCTGTAGCCTTCACTCTGTGAGTCTTTGGGAGTATGGGCCATTAATGTGATCACCTGTGGGTCTGTGAGGAGTGTTAGCAGAGGCACGATCATGTTTCTGCATCTTCCACAGAAGCTCTTTGGTGCTTGTTTGTTGCAGCGATGACAGAGTTGATTTGCTTTCTGGCAACAGCAGAAGACATTTGGACTTTTTTGTATGAAACTTGAAGTGAAATGCATGATTGAAAGCAAACTGCACCTCGCTGCATGTGTGATATGTGACAGATTTATTGCTGCTATGTGTCAGTGGCTGACAGCACTGAAGAGTCTTTCAAGGACACAATCACACAGGAGTTGTTGTAAATGCAGAAGCAAGTCTTTACCACCATTTTGCCCATGAGAACATGCTAAATTGAAGTTTTTTTTGGAGAGGACAGTCAGCATGAGATCACCAAGGCCTAACTAAACCTGTTGGCTGTATATTTGTCACCACAGTCTTGCATGTAATTGGACTGTAGAAAGACGAAACAGTTACTTTGCAAAGAAATAAAAAGTCACCCTGATCTGCTACAACACGTCCTGTGTGATCGAGCTGTGAGGCTGCTTCAGCAGCATTGTTGGCCTGTAATGAAACATTGGGGTAATAGTAATAATGGTGGGTTACTTCCACATGTTTTATGGAACTAAGTGCAGGTAAGTGAGACATTCAGTGCTTCTGTGTCTGCTTTTATCAGCTAAAATCAGCTGAGCAGGGTTCATACTCTATTTGACAGCTGCATTTATGTTGCACCTTTAAACTTGGAGCAGAATATACAGGTTTACTAACACAATGCTTCATTTGTGTTTTATATCTATTGGCAAGATTTTGCATTTGGAAACTGGACCAGTGGGTGTTGAGACAACGTAGCCCACCTGTTCTCCTATAGTCTAACTGAACAGCTGTGTGTTGTTTTCTGCTGCAGTGTTGGGTTTGCCTCTGTGGGTTCTCATACAGTATGTTGCATTTTAAAGTTAAACTTTAATCATGGACAGCTTTTTCTTACCCATTCTGCCCTGTTTCTCTTTGAGAGGAAGCTGTTTGCTTGTTAGCTGATGTGTTTGGAGCTGAGCCAGTCACAGTAGTGGAGCTTAGGGGATAAGCCTGGTGCTACATAGCTAACACAGGGTGCAGATAATGGGACTAGTCTAATTGTTGTTGTTGTTCAGGATGCTGGTGGAAATAGTCTTTCTCTGGTGCCCTGCCTGTACAAATGACTTGTAAATAATATGAATAAATAAACAAGTTACATTTGAACATTGGAGAACTCATCAGTCTGGAGGAGGTTTATCAAAATGTTCCCATTTCACTTTAGCGTGCTACATGATGTACACACATCCTTGGATAAGCTCCTCTTGATAATATGTGGCTGCAGCGTTAGAGCCTCTGCTGCTCTTAAGCTAAAGTTGTAGGCTTCTTATTGGCAAAGGGTAAAGTTTTATTTATCTCTGTGTGTTTGTGTGCATGAGCACCAGATAGAGAGCACGTAAGGAGGCTTTATTCTGACGGGATCTACAGAGGCGTGATTTGATTGGATGACAAAGCAGATGAGGCAGTTTGATTGGATGTTGGAGGAGTGTGCCAGATCTGCAGAGATAATCTTCTTTGGTGCAGACGGAGGGGTGACACCCTGTAGCATCATATAGACACACGTGCACGCACAAACACACACACAGTCACAGTCCTGTCTCATTTGGACATTTTGACTTTCATTTTCTTTGTAATGGCAACAAACAGATACATCAGCATCCTCCATTCCCATCAACCTGTTTCAGTCTGGAGTAAAGGAATGATCTTCCCAAACCTCAGGGGGTCAAACAGTTGTGGATGAAGCTGAGCCTTTCCTTTTAAAGCTCATGATTTAATCTAGTAAACCACGCTGATTGTACTTGGGGGACATTTCCCCACTCATTTTAGTAACAGCATTAACAGACATCAGTCAAAATTAAGTGAATGTAGTCAGATGAATGTTTATTTCTAGGAAACATTTATCTCAGAACAGCTTCTACTGGCTGTAAACCAAGCCAAGGTGACTCATCTCATTGTATTTTAGTTTCCTTCTTGCAGTAATTCTGACTTCACTGATTTGTGGCATGAAGTGCTTTGAGCTGTGTCTTGGAGAAATGGGATTTTGTTTTAATTTGTGGTTACAAATTAAAGGGGGCAGGGCCATTGTGGGCCCTGAGCCACAGGGCCAGTCTAATTCCTGCAGCAGTGATTAGGCTGAGGGTATAATTATCTGCAGCTTCCAGGGCACAGCTGGGTGCATATGTGCAGTAAAATGTTTATTGTGTGTAGTGCTGCATATAACATATTCCTTCTGTGTCAGTGTTGCACTGCCTCAGCAGTAACTGCAGTCCACCCACACACACACTTTCTCTTTCAGACATATACACACACTGCTGGCCCACTTTGCATCACTCAGCTCTGTTTTGAGCCTCCGGCAGCTCAGGAGCAGCACTTTCCTTATGTCTTCAAAGGCAGCGGGATCTTTCTTGGGCATGAGCAAATTTTAGCGACTCTGTAATGTAGGTCAGCTGAATATCCATGAGATGGAGAGAAGGCGTTTATGTTGCAAGCTGGAAATTAATGTGACGACACTGGTAGGAGGCAAAGAAAGCATCGTGTCAACTGCTGGAAAAGCTTAAAGCTACAGTATGCAACTTTTTCCAAATATTGTTGTTGTATAAATCTGCTCCAAAACTTGTCTTACTGTGGAGAGGTGCTGTCAAAGCCTCCTGTGACCCAGACTCACTGGCAGCAGTGCAGAGATATTAACTTCTAAAAGTTTTTGCGTGGGATTGACCTCTAAACAAGCAGAGATGCTCAGTTATTTCTGCAGTAAGTTTCATTGCATTCTCATTTATTTTAATTTCATAAGAACAAATATCTGAAGAGCTGAGCAGAGTGTGGCACAGTAGAGCAGGTCATAGTGGAGCAGGTCATAGAGGGGGTGCTGGGTGGAGCAGAGTGGGTTGATTTGGAGTTTCATACTTTTATGTTACATAATGTAGCTTTACATGGTTAATATGTACAGTAATAGAAACAAGGGTATTGCATGCCCTATTGAATGCAGACTAAGAAGCTGTAAGAGAGCTTAAAGAGAACAAAAGAGCAGGTTGAGACAGATTTGAGGTTGTTTGGAGTACTTTAGACATAATGGAGAGGGCAAAAATATTGAGACACCTGAATAGAATGCAGTCCAATAAAACACCACCACTATGATGTCAATAATAAACATATAACTGAATTAACTTCACCATAAACTGAACCATTATGAGCTTCATAAAGATGAATGTTAAGGCAATGCTGTTGTATCAGATTGTGCACCATCGTGCAGACATTCAGGTGACAAAGGGCAATCTAACAAAGTGACTCAGTGAGGTGCTGGTGAAAGGGCAACCTAACAAAGTGACTCAGTGAGGTGCTGGGACACCACGTGCCACCAGAACAGCTTCACTGCACCTTGACTCTCCAAGTCTCTGACTTTTCTGGAGGGATGAACAAATGTTCCCTCATGTGGTGTTTTGATGATGGTGGCAGAGTGATATCTTGAAGGTTTCCTGAAAAGAACCATGTAGGAAAACTAGCGACGGTTATGCTGGAAACTTGATTCTTCGTGTTAATTGAATTGTTTGCCGTCACATTGCGCACACCTGCCACCTCTGACTAAAAGTTGTGTTAGCTTGTCATTTAGTAATAACTACAATTGTACCAACTGGGCACCATAAGATTTCCCTGGTAGTTGGTACCAAGTTCCATGGTTCTTTCCAGGAAATTTCCTAGAAGATTATTTGAAAAAAACAAAAAATAGAATTTGTGGACCTGTATAATAAAGCATTACTGACACCATATATAATTCAAATGTAGGTTTCCATATAGAACAGGAAGACAGTTTAATAACATTGATTTGTATCATTTATTTTTTAAATTCCAATTCTTTGACAGTTCTGTGATTGTAACATTAACTCAATAAATCACACTGCTGGTGGGACCTGAAAAAAGCTTTTACAGCGCATCCATTTTTCTTAGTTTTCTGTTAGGCATTAACAAAAATATAAGCTAGTCCTTAAGAAGCCGTTTATGAGCTTGTACTATACAGTAGATGCCTGTGCTGTCTATAGTGTGTGCGTGTGTGTCCCTAAGGGGGTTTTGAGGGGTGCCAATAAGAAGACTGGCTGCTAATCTCATCTTCCTCTTCTCATTCAGCTTCCTTTTACTCTGCCCTTTTACTTGTTCATAACAAGGAACCTCCTAAGTGTGAAATGAGGCCATCCACAGACATTCAGACACTCATGTGAAGTGTTGGAAAGAG